TTACCTTGGCTCCAGCAGGCTGTGAGCTGCAGGTGGATTCCCCCGTGGCGGCAGCGGCTGCTGCTGCTCCCCCCAGACACCTCAGTTCTGTGTAGCTGAAGAGCAGAGCTGCCCCAGCGCTACCAGCTTCAGGGTTTGCCGGGCAGCCCCCAGATCTCCAGGCCCTGCACCCCCAGCCGGGCGCTTCCCCTCCCGGGCTCCAGCTGCGCTGGGGAAGCGCCCGGCCGGGGGCGCAGGGTCTGGAGATCTGGGGGCTGCCCAGCAAACCCTGAAGCCGGTAGCGCTCAGGCAGCTTCGCGTGGCTGGGAGGGAGGAGGAGGAATGTGGGGCACTCCGGGGAACGGGCAGAGTTGGGGCGGGGACTTTCGGGAAGGGGCGGGGCCGGGGCAGGGAAGGGGCGGGGCCGGGGCCCCATGGAGTGTCGTCCTTTTTTAAGGTTTAAATATGGTAACAGTAGGACTGGGAGCGCAGCCAGTGCGGCTGGGCCATGGTGGGGATACTGGGGCTGCCTGAGGGGCCAAGCTACTAGACAGGAAGCGGCGCAGTAAGCACATGCTGGACAGCCCCGACTCCAACCTGCCACCCAGCCCTGAGCATGCTGCGCCCCAGTGCTGCCCACGCTGGACGCCGCAGGTCCAGCGCCGCCGGTGAGTAGAGCCCTGCATGGCTGTATCTGCAGCCAATCCGCTATCTGCAAAAACGGTCCATGGATATCCACGGATTTGCAGGGCTCTACCTAACACCAGGCAGTTTTCCCACCAGAACAGGGATAGCATTGGCCCCTATAGCACTAAAATGAAATATTGGAAGACGTGCAGCCAAAGGAAAACGGTGAAGACTGAACCTAGTTGCCCCCAAAACATGGCTTGCATCCCCAACCCATCCTGGAGCCCGACTCTCCCTCCTTAAACAGTCTTGTGGCCCATGTGTAGTAGCAGAATTCCAGCAACGTTGGAGGAAGTGGCAAACGCCTTGGCTATGCAGCCAGTAGGAAAGAAAACTGAGCAGCAGTGCGTCCAGATGCTGGGATTTCCAATCCGAGAGAAAGTCAAATCATGTTCAGCAGCCACTGCTGCGGGAGAGCAATCCAAATACTCGGAGTGGATTTGAAAACCCACCCTGAATAATTTTGACCATTAATAACACTTATAGCTGTGCAGGATAAGGTAAGGGTAACCTAACCCACTGCTTGAGTGGAAACTGGTCGCTTGTGGATCAGGAATTTTCCCAGCACATATAGCATCGCATGTTTGATTGGACGTAAAGCTTCCCATAACGTTATCTAAAGAGAGGATAGTGGGCTAGATGAGCCACTGGTCTGACTCATAGTTTTTCCATATGTTCTTAGAAAGCCACCCTCCTTAAGACATTAAGACCTATATTTTCAAAAGTGACAAGTGATTTTGGGTGGCTGACTTGAGGCCTCGTTACCGGAGAGTAGATGCTGAGAAGTTTCTGAAAATCAGGTCCCTCAACTGAAACACCTACAATTACTGGTCACTTCTAAACACGTGGGACTAAGTTAAATTTAAAACCATTTTGAGCCGTGTGTCTGGTCGCAAAAAAGCCAATTTACTGGCAAAATCAAGTAAGGACAAGATCTGTCCACATCTGTGTATTTTATGCCAGTCATGCTTTGACAAATTGAAAAAAAATGTTTTAGCAGAACCCCATCACTCTGCCATGTACTACTTCTGAATCTCCTCCCCCCACGTAGCATTTGAATGCCTCAAGATACATGTATAAACAGAAGCTTGTTCCTTTATAATCAACCTCTTCTTCCTGCATGATTCATTGAGGAATGTTTCAGCTGTGTGCTTTGTAGTGAACTGCAATGTCACGAACACTGGAACGTGACAGTGAACAAATATAGTAGGAAGAGTTGGTTGATTATGAAGGAGAGACCATCTCCTTCACAAAGGAGTATGTCAAAAAAGCACATCACAGTAATAAAGAGCAAAACTGACAAACTTCTCCTACATTGCAAAATCTCCATATTCTCCAAACACTGATGCAAATGTGTTGAGCTGTGCTTTTATTTTCTTAGTGTGTCTTTAAAGATGTACTGTGAACCTCCTTTGGACTCTGGCTTTTGTAGCCTCTTGGGCCTTGTCTACATTAGGATTTGAGCCATTGGAGGAGACCTGGTGCGACACCAAATACCCCATCCCGCAGGCAAGGCTGCTGTAAGACTCAATTTGCATCAGTGCAGTTTACCTCTGCTTCAAAGAAAGGTTAAACTGCACCAGGGCAAATCACATTTTATAGAGGTTTCAGAGTAGCAGCCGTGTTAGTCTGTATCCGCAAAAAGAAGAACAGGAGTACTTGTGGCACCTTAGAGACTAACAAATTTATTAGAGCATAAGCTTTTGTGGACTACAGCCCACTTGCATCCGAAGAAGTACTTCTGTTCTTCATAGAGGATTTACCTGTTTGTGCTCTGGTAGCTGGTCACCAATGACTGTTAATGGGGCCAAACCCTGGTGTAGACAAGGGCTCCCTCTGCTGGATAAAACCAGATAAGTAAATGAATCATAATAGCAATATAATTGCCTGCAGCAGAATTCATTGTGGGAGGAATAAGAAAGAAATGTGACTTAGAATCATAGAATATCAGGGTTGGAAGGGACCTCAAGAGGTCATCTAGTCCAACTCCCTATTCAAAGCAAGACCAATCCCAACTAAATCATCCCAGCCAGGGCTTTGTCAAGCCAGACCTTAAAAACCCCTAAGGAAGGAGATTCCACCACCTCCCTAGGGAACCCATTCCAGTGCTTCACCACCCTCCTAGTGAAAAAGTTTTTCCTAATATCCAACCTAAATCTCCCACACTGCAACTTGAGACCATTGCTCCTTCTTCTGTCATCTGT